GGTTCGAATCCACCAGATGCTCTGCTGGGGAAGGAGGGGCAATCTCCTCCTGTACCAGTCAGATCTGATTTGACGGTACACGCACACAAAAATAAAAAAAGGGGAAAAAAATTAAAAAGAAATTGCGTGTTCTTTTCCGTTTACTTCCTTGTTGTCTTGTTCATTTTTTTTAGTTGTATTACCAATATGCCTCGAACTCGGTCCCAGTCACAGGCTACAATCAATTTTCAAAAAAAGAAGCTGTCCCGGCCCTTGGACAAAGCTAAAAATTGTAGTGATGTCAAACTAGAATCAACAAATATCCAGACTACATCTCCTCCTTGTGAAGAAATTCTGCCTCTCAGCCCCAGAAAACGTCTAGGTAAGCTCTCTGTTTTATAGGTGCAACTTTTGGATTAGTAACTCCCAGCTCCTTAGCTCTCACCTTGCAGTTACATAGTATTTTGAAACTTGCCTCCTTAATTTTGCAGATAAGAGAACAGTGGTGGGCAATTGTCTCTTATTTTAGAGCAACTGATTTTAATACACAGGGGTTACCTGGCATTATATGGAGGCATTTCTATTGTCACAACTGAAAGATTGTGACAGAAATGAACACAGTGCTTCTGACCTGGTGAGCAGGAGCCAGAACTGCTCCTGAACATCCTACAACGCACAAGAAAGCCCCTCTACGACAGTATTATCCATTCCAAGATGGTAGTGGTGCCCGAATGGAGAAATTGTGATGTTTAGCGCCATTGAGTCAAAACTGACTCGTATCTGAAAGTCCAGTGATTTTCACAGGCTGTAAATCACATGGGAGGAGATTGTGTGTCTCTCTCCGGAAGAGCAGCTGGTAGATTCAAACTGGCAGTATGACTGAGTAGGCCACCAGAACTCCCCAAGTTAAGAAATACTGTGAGAAATAGTAGAATTCTTCCCACTGAATCCGATCACTCTAAGCAACTTAAACTCTATCAGTTTAGCCCAACAACCTTCCACATTCAGACTCCCTCAAGCCTAGTTAGGGAGCTCTAGTGAATAGAGAGGGAGTTGCACTGCTAGCCCTAAAGATGGGCAGTTCAAATCCACTAGGGGCTCTGCAAGAGGAAGACAGACGGTCTCCTTTTGTGATTTACAGACTGAAAACCTGCTGGAGGGTAAGCTATGAGCCTGTATGGCAGTGAGTGAATGGGTAGGTGAGAGCAAAAGCCATTTGGTTTCTCCCAGGGTCTTAAGTTTCAATGGTGCCATCTGGTGGCCATTTATTTTAATTCAAATGATAACACATTATCTTCTGGTACTTCCCTCCCAGAAAGAAATTAATCTCTTTTTGGGAGTCATTAACTATCTACTACTATAAATGACTGAATCTTGATTTTCCTTTGTTTCAGGTGATGATAACCTGTGCAACACTCCCCATATACCTTGCTGTTCTCCACCAAAGCAAGGCAAGAAAGAGAATGGCCCCCCTATCTCATATGCAACTAAGGGGAGAAAATTGGTATTTGATAATTCACTAACAACTAAATCTACTAAAAGAGAACAAAGCAGCGTTCAACAAAACAAAATACTTCCCTCAGTTCAGAAATGTCAGGAGAGCACAACAAATTCTGATCAGAGATGTCCACTGGAGGAAGAATCTACATGTATAAGACTGTTCAAGCAAGAAGGTTCGTTCATGTATGACAGCTGTTAATGCATTCTTATAAACAACAAGGCTAATGACTCTGGATGACACCCAGTGGGTCTTCTTAGTTACCTTCTGTTATGTCTAATTGTCTCTTCATGTCTGGCACAGGCACTTGCTACCAGCAAGCAAAGCTGGTTCTGAATACAGCTGTCCCGGATCGGTTGCCTGCCAGGGAAAAGGAGATGGATGTCATCAGGAATTTCCTGAGGGAACACATCTGTGGGAAAAAAGCTGGAAGTCTTTATCTTTCTGGTGCTCCTGGAACTGGAAAAACTGCATGTTTAAGCCGAATTCTGCAAGACCTGAAGGTACATTGAGGATCTGAAATATGATCCTTTTGCTAAAAATGAAACATAGTTACTGAAGCTTAAAAGAAGTACTAAGAGGATTGAACATTTCCCCAAGATTGGGCATTTTTAATTTCAATGTTTCTATTTTTGCAAATGAAAGTGGAGCTTTAGGTCTTACATACTGTTGGCTCCTCAGAGACCTTCCAGGTTCCATCACATTTTTATCTGAGACCATTGTGTTTGTATTTTTCTAGAAGGAACTGAAAGGCTTTAAAACTATCATACTGAACTGCATGTCCTTGAGGAATGCTCAGGCTGTATTCCCAGCTATTGCTCAGGAGATTTGTCAAGAAGGAGAAGCCAGGCCAGCTGGGAAGGAACTGATGAGGAAGTTGGAAAAACATATGACTGAAGTGAAGGGCCCCATTATGTAAGTCTTGTTCTACTACATGTTACTCATGAAAAAGCTGCATGATCAGTTATCCACAAACTCATGTTCTTCTAAATAATAAAAGACATTCCCTACGTTTTACATATGAGAAGTGGTTTCACAAACTTTAGGGAAATAAGAAAAGTATACCTCTATACATCTACAGCTTATATTTCTAAAAACTATTTGTATATCCTGGGATAGTGACTTGTTTATAATAGTTCACTTTAACAGTCAGTAGAAATAAGATTGTTAATTTCAGATTGGCTTCAGTTTTATGCATGACCTTAAGTCCTCGTAAACCAAATAGATTGGTGGTGTAAGAAGATGAACCTGAATCCTAATTGTTTCTCCCTATATGTAGTGTGCTGGTGTTGGATGAGATGGACCAGCTGGACAGCAAAGGGCAGGATGTATTATACACCCTGTTTGAATGGCCCTGGATAAAGAACTCTCGATTAGTGTTGATTGGTTAGTACTCTATTGTTACTGTTACATGGTAGTTCTAAAGTGTTCTCCATTATTTCTATTCAGCTTACTAATTGCCTGTTTTTTCTAAAACCTGCTTTCATGTAAAAATAATAGTGAGTTTCATCTAAGGCAAATAAATCAATTTTAAGTTGGAAGAGAAGGAACAGCACATTTTAAAGAGTAGATTTTTAGAGTACCTTGTCTAGGTAACTTGAAGACTATATTTTAGGGGGGTGGGCAGGGAGGAAAATGTCCAACAGTGAATGAATGGAAATCTAAGTTCTCTATAAACTTTCATTAAAATTTCAATTTGAAAAAGAAGAGAAGAACATCAAAAAGCATGGGGATGTTAATATGGTACAATTTTACCTCTCAAGTGTGTCTACAGAAGTGCTTCTTAACTTCATTTTTTAAAAGTAGGGTCATTTGATTTCCTTATTTTTTTTAATGTGATTAATTGATTTTGCATTTCTTTGGGGGAGGAATGTCAGTTTCTCTCAATGTTTTCAGTTTTCCTTGCCACTCATTTCTGTTTGCGTCCAGTGTTCCAAACACAGTTTGTATTTAAATATTTTAAAGTATGGAAACTGTAACTGAGTACAGTGACATTGTTCTCTGGTATGATGTTCCTAGTATACAATGAAGTGTATGAATTCGTTGTCAATTTGATTATTGACACTTACAACATGTTTACAAATAAACTGTGGTATTATCAAAAAAAAAAAAGAAAGAAAAAGTAAAATAAAATTTTTTAAAAAAGAAAACTACATTTTATGGTGACTTTGCACATCTTAATTAATGACTCCTCTTAAGGACCAAATGAGAAACAACTGGAATGTTGGATCATGACTGAGAATTTTATTTAGCTTACAGACACTTCGGTTTTCCTTTTTTAGAATGATTTGACCAGTTGTTATTACTACCTTTCTCTTCCTCAGGGATTGCTAATACCTTGGATCTGACAGACAGAATTCTACCTAGGCTTCAAGCTAGAGAAAAATGTACACCCCAACTATTGAATTTCCCGCCTTATACCAGAAATCAGATAGCCACTATCTTGCAAGATCGACTTAATCAGGTGAGTGCCAACCATTGTATCAAATACATATTTTTTTGGGTCACCTGATGGAAAACCTAACCCACCACTGTCAACTTGGTGGTTCATGGTCATCTAATAGGACAGTCACACTGTCTCAGAAGGTTTTCAAGGCTGTAAATCTTTACACAAGCAGGCTACCTCGTCTTTCTAATGGAGCAGCTGGCTGGAACAAACTACCAACCTTTTGATTAGCAGCACAGTGCTTTAACTATAACACCACTGCAGTTTGGGGGAAAACCTTACAGTGTTTCTAAAATATTTTGCATTAATTGGTTTATTAGGGATGTTCTTATGGTCATGGTGAGAACACTTATATGAATTTCACATATGGCTCTACTTACTGGCTGCCTCAGTATTGAAATAAAAGTATATAATTAAAAGAATCATTCAAGTGCTTCCTTAGCCCTTAAAAATAAGGCCTATAAAAACCTTTTTTTTTTCTGTGTTCTAATTGCTTTTGCTTATTTATGAACTTGTACCATATTTCTCCTAAATGTTTAAATGTGTTCAGACTCATTCTCAAACATCTTCATTTACTTGTGACCAGAAAAAATATCTCTTCTACCTCACAGGGAGGCCAATCAAGTTTAGATTTAACTGTGAAGGTGATGACTGGGACTTAAATCCCAGAGAAGGAAAATCTTACAGTTTAAAACTGTCATCTTTTCTATGTTATCTGAAGGTGTCTAGCGATCAGGTTCTGGATAATGCTGCAATTAATTTCTGTGCTCGAAAAGTCTCAGCTGTGTCAGGAGACGTTCGAAAAGCTCTAGATGTTTGCAGGTGAGTTATGACACTGTTGGTTGCTTTTATTAAAAAAAGAAATGCTGTTAATTGTCTCGTGTAACTCAAGTGAATATGGCCTAAGAGGCTCCATTCTGTGACTTTTTATGCTCAGAAAGGAGGACTTGTTTCTCAGTGGGGAGCTCTGCATTTCCACCGTGTTAATGTCTGAAACATTATCAGTCCATTACCTACAGAGGGAGAAACAAATGAGATGTTGCTGGCACTCCCTGTGGTGATTATAGATTGGTTAATTACATTTGTATTAAAAAAGACTCCAGTTTACTTTTCCATTAGCTGGTCTCAAGCAGGTTTATTTATGGACCTGAACCATCTTTGCCTTTAGACTTTTTTCCCTTCCTTTGCTTTTGTGAGCACCCCTTCTCTCCAGTTGGTGGTCCTCACAGTGGTAGCCCAGGCCGCCCTCTCTTCCCATCCCCCTGCCTCTCCTGCTGGGGAAAGCCTCCCGTGCTGACTGATGAAATGTCTTCCTTCCCAGTAGGAACACTGGGTCCATTAAAATGATACTTGCTGTGTTGGCCTGCTGGTCCTACCTCCCCCTACTGTCTCTCAGAAGAACTGGGTCTGGCTTATGACTTCCTGTGGGCAAAGTACTTTGGAGAGAGCAGTGGGAGAGTGAGCTCTTCCTCTTGCTAGGCATGACCCTAGATTCGAAAGTCTCCCCAAGCCAGCAAACTCCTGCATAGACTGCAGCTATGAGCTGTAGACATGTAGGCTGGAGTGATTTCGCCTACATGTATCCCATGTAGGTATGGCTCAGAACTCCCCCTTAGTTCTGGTCTACAGGAGTTGTGCTCTCCTTAGTCACCACTGCGTTTCCACTCCCTATTCCGTGACATTTTCTCCTTATCCAAAATGTTAGTGGTTTCATGTTTGATGACCTATTTGGCATCTCTAAGAAAAAACCATGTGGTGGAAAAGTTTCTTGAATTTCCTGATCCATAAATTAGTTCAAGGCTATTAAGTGCCCTTTAGCTAAGACATAGCCCAGTTTTGTTTGGGGATTCAAAAAATAATAATTTTTTAAAAAATTTTATAGTGTGCTTGGTTTTGAGCTTGATGGTGTGGTGTTTGGTTTGGCTCAGCCTAAGTTAATTTCAGAACTTTTTTTTTTAAGGCGAGCTATTGAAATTGTAGAGTCAAGTGTCAAGAGCCAGACTATCCTCAAACCACTGTCTGAATGTAAGTTTATCTCCTTCCTGTCTTCCTTTATAACTGGAAGCTTAACTTTTCTGAAAGATGAAATGAACGTGGTTAAAACCTGCCCACTCGTTTTGATATGTATGTCTGTCTTTGTGGTCAGTTTCATCAACTTTAATTTATCTTGCCTGCCATTACTACATATTCCATACATTACTGGAAATGAGTTCCCGAGGGCATTACATTACTGGAATAAAGAAAGTTTTCTTTCCAAGCTCTAGGAAAGAGAACTAAAGACAATATCAGATTTGCATTGCTTTGTGTGCTTATGTTGAGTGCACTTTGAGTCTGATATAAATGAAAGTAAACCTTACATAAAAGAGAGGTACACAGGGAGCTCTGGTGGCCTAGTGGCAAGACACTGCACTGCAATCCCAGAGGTATGCAGTTCAAATCCACCAGATGCTCTGCTGGAGAAGGAGGGGCAATCTCCTCCTGTACCAGTCAGATCTGATTTGACAGTACACGTAAAAATGATACAATTTGGGGGGGAGAGGGGGGAGGGGTTTGTGCGGGGAGAAGGGTGCAACAAAGAATGAATGCAATTCCAAAATCTCTGTAGATGTTCATTGAAATGAAAAATAAACTAAATTTAAAAAAAGATACAATTTTTTTAAAAAATTTAAAAAAAAAAGAGAGGTACAAAGATCATTGTTACAGTAAACTGTAGACTAGTCTAAAGACAAAAATAATTTTCCTTTTTTATTAACTTGTTTAAATATTTCAGAAGTTGCGAGATTCAATGGTTGGGTTAATGGTAGATAATATATGCCAATATATAAACTAGACACTGGAAAAAAAAATAATTAAAAAAAACCCCCAAAAAACTCGACACTGGTTTCTTCTTCTTTAACTTTCCAAATTTTTTTTTCTTTTCTTGCCCTTCTAATAACATTTGGACTTGTCAATGGCCTACATAAACATACATACATATAGGTAAAAGGCAGTAACTTGCTGGCATAGGTTATCTATTGTTGGTAAGCGCTATTGATCAAGTCAGTTCCAACTCAGCAATCATAAGTACAACAGTAGGAAATATTGCCTTTTCCTTTTTTTTTTTAAGGATTACTTTTTTCCCCTGGAGAAGTATCAAAAAGTAGGTGAAATGAAGTCACACTATCCTTACCTCTAAAGAGTATTCCAGCTGCATTACTACTAAGTCAGATTTAGTTTGTTATTCTGGTAGTTCATAATATATCTGCTGTTCTTTACCAGCACTATAACTCCTTTAAAGAATATAGAAATCACTTTGTGGACTAAGTGCACCTGACCCAAACATAAATTTTTAAGCTTAATTGTGGTGTTGACTTTTTTTTTTTTTAAGATTTTAATGAAAGTTTGTAAAGAACTTAGATTTCCGTTCATTCATTGTTGCACATTTACCCCCTATCCTCCTTTCCCCACCCTGTTTGCTTTTTTCTTTGGAAAAAAAGTTTTTTCATTGTTATACAGTCCCGTCCAGTTTCCCCACCACTTTAATATGCAGCTCTTATTCTGGACTCTTGTCATGCCAATAATACCTAATCATATATTCCTTTTATATAGTTCTCCCACTTGTCTGTTTCAATGTTCTATACATTATTTATTCCCTCTTTTCTTAGTTTCCCCCTAACCTCCTTATCAGTCCTGTTTTCTAACAGTGGCATTATGCAGTATTTGTCTTTTTGTGACTGAGATATTTCACTCAACATAATGTCCTCCATGGTCACCCATGTTGTATAATATTTTATGAGTTCTTTGTTTTTTCAGTTCATAATATTCCATTGTGTGAATATACCACAGCTTCTTTATCCATTCATTTGTTGATGGGCACTTGGGTTGTTCCCAGCTTTTTGCTATTGTGAACAAAGCAGCAATAAACATGGGTGTGCATTTATCTGCTTGGGTAGCAGTTCTGGTTTCTTTAGGATATATTCCCAGTAGTAGAATTGCTGAATCAAATGGTATTTCTATTTCCAACTTTTTGAGAAAGCGCCATACCGCCTTTCACAGCGGTTGCACCTGGAATTGACTTTTAAGGGTTCCAGAAAACCAGAGATTTGAATTTGACTGAATAAAAAAAGAAACTTTCTTATAAGTAGAACTCTGCGAATCTTTGAAACATAGTGAGTTACCTAGCATTGATGGTGCACAAACAAAAGATGGCTAGATGTCCACCTTTGAGGTTGTTTTAGAGGAGACTCCATTGTCTGTTTGGAAACAAGAATAGACCTCCAAATTCTTTCAGCTTAAAGATTCTATTAAGTCTTTATTGCTACCAGTCCTTCGTTGCATCCTGTTTGTTGTAATGAAGTAGAAAACTTGTGGAGGAACTGTAAAATAGTCTCAGGAAGTCACTTCAGGCAGAGATAGTTACAGGGCACACCTCTCCTCCTCTTGGGATTCGGGGATCTCCAAACAATGAGGCCATAGTTCTGTGCTGGTTCTTGGCAATTTCTCAGCCTCCAGTTTTTGAGATGTTGCTGTCTACTAAGATATCCAATGACACTTTTTTCAAGTGTTACTCGACTACAGATCAGCTTGGGCAAGTGAACCAAACCTCACAGGTCATTTGGGAAGGCTGTCTGGAGGACTAGTATGGAACTGACTTTATAGTCCACATTTAGTGCCCCTTATTTCACTCAAAGGGCTGGGTAATTTTTAACATTCCCTTCTTAATCACCAGCTATAGTCCTAATCTTTGCTACAAGGTTCTATTCTTTGCCTTTGAGACATCAAGAATTCCCAAGGCAATGAAAAGAACTTTGAAGAGAGAGTTCAAGAGGGCCTGTGGACAGTGTGAGGGCAGTAGCGGCCCCCGGCGCGCCGGGTCCCGGTCTTCCCGGAGTCGGGTTGCTTGGGAATGCAGCCCAAAGCGGGTGGTAAACTCCATCTAAGGCTAAATACCGGCACGAGACCGATAGTCAACAAGTACCGGAAGGGAAAGTTGAAAAGAATTCCCAAGGCAGAATACAGTCATTTTCTACCTGGCCTTCACTCTTTCTGTGGGACATTTTGCCTCATAAAATAAAATACTACACTGTACTAGAAAAAGAATTACTCTGCTTTCCAAGCCCTCCTACATCTTTTGACATCTTCTGAGCATAGTATTTGCCTTCTCCTAGTGATAGCACTAGGAGAAGACAAATACTTTGCTCAGAACCACAAATGGGTGGCTTCAAAGAATAATAATTTTCTCGCAGTTTTAGAAGCCAGAAGTCTAAAACTTAATTCCTTCTGTGGGTCTGTCTTCTTGTTTTTTTGTGGCTGTCATAATCGTTGGTATTCCTTTGCTGTTTATAAATGCCTTTCTCATCAGTCTCCCTCTGAATGTGTGTATTCTGCAAAAGATGCCACTCAGAAAAGATTAGATTTCGGGCCCACCTTTTTCTGTTACATCTCCATTAATATAACACAAGAACTACCACTCCTCCTTCCCTCCCATTTCCCAAACTCTTTATACTTACAAGTATAGAGGTAGTTAGAATTTCAAGAAATTTTAAAGGACGCAATTCCGTTCACACCAGTATTCCTTTTTACCCTTTGACTCCCAGAAAATTGGAACCTCTCCTTTGCCATCGCATGGTTGTAGCTAAAACTTAGTATCACTGGTCTTAACACACATACAAAATCTTAATTAAGCTTGATTATTTACTTAATAGGTAAATCATCCTCTGAGGTACCAGTTCCCAAGCGAGTTGGTCTTAGTCACATCTCCCAAGTTCTTTCAGAAGTTGATGGTAACAGGATGACTGTGGGCCAGGAAGGAACACAAGATTCTTTCCCTCTTCAACAGAAGATCTTGGTCTGTTCTATGCTGCTCTTGACAAGGCAGTTGAAAATCAAAGAGGTCACTCTGGGGAAGGTAAGTTGGGAATTTCCACTAATGGAACAGTGTAAAGATGCAAATCTGCTTCCAAGTCCAGACTTTTTTTTTTTTAATTAAAATAACAGGAGACAAGACATTTAAGCAACATTTCTTCTCCCTTATTTCCTCACAGTTATATGAAGCCTATAGTAACATCTGTCGAAAACAGCAGGTGGCAGCTGTGGACCAGTCAGAGTGTTTGTCACTAGCAGGACTCTTGGAGGCCAGGGGTATTTTAGGATTAAAGAAAAACAAGGAAACTCGATTCACAAAGGTAGAACTGACTGCCTTTTTATGATGGTGCTTTTGATTGTCTTGGTCTGGAGAGCATATTGTTCTTTGTTTAAAATCAAGATTAGATAAACAGTTATCTAAAGCTATTTGGAGTTTTGTTGGCTGAGTGGTGTGTGGTGTGAATGACTTCCCCCACCCCCAGATTTTTGTCTCTGACATTAAATTACATCCCACAGGACAAAATAGCTCACTATACTGAGCAGAGAAGGCAATCTTAACTTGTTTGCCTCTTGCTGAGAAGTTTTTACATTGTAGAAGTTTGTGTAGTAGCACCTTTGCTCTTGTGAAAATCATTTTTCTTTCCTTTGCAGGTGTTTTTGAAGATTGAAGAGAAGGACATAGAGCATGCTCTGAAAGACAGAGCTTTAATTGGAAATATCTTGACTACTGGATTGCCTTAAATTGTCTTTCTCCCATCCACAAGTGTCCAGCTGGCATTAGAAAGCTACAGTCTTCATTTTAGTATTTTATTCTCAAATCTGAAAGAAATAATGACCGTTTTATTTGAAAACAATGAATTTCAACCTACATATTCATGAATATAAGCACAGAATAGTATCTTTGGGTCTTTTTGCTTTAACTCTAGTAAGTGGACCCTTTTTAATACTTTCACTACCTCTGCCATTTATGTGTCTCCTACCAGTATGCTTGTAAGTAATAGTGATTTAATTTGTGGAATGTACATATATTTACTACTTAGTTTCTTCAAATGCCAGTGTATTTTGTTAGGAATTTTGGAGTCAGAATAAGAAGAATGAAAAAGAATGGCCCAGAAAAATAAGTCCACATGGAGATTTGGAGGACACACTGATCAAAGAGTTTCTTTCTTTGGGGGTATTCTGAACTCACATTGCAGAGGCTACCACATTGTGACATTTTAAAGACTCATTAAGTTTCTTGGGTACTCCCCGGGTTGTGGGGTGGCTAAAGAGAACGTAATGCTGCAGATTGTGAATATATTTATTTTAAAGTTACATTCTGTGTTTCTTTTAAGTCACATTTTTTTTAAGAGAGCTCCAGGTCTCAGAAGGCAGTGTAAAAATGCTCACTCACTGCCCTCTCATGGAGCCACTTATTTCAAGATGCCTTAGTTTACAGTTGGAATTTGATCTAAAAAGTGTATTTTTCTGCACGTCTTTGAAGATAAATTAATCCATTTGTTTACTCAAGATTCCTTGTTGGGCTTTGGTTTCCACTAGCCGTAAATGGCAATTTAGGAGTAGGACACCAGAGGGCACCATTACAACACTGATTGTCTTCAAAGTGCAGGCTTGAAGCTGGGGTACTTTTAGGGGAAAGGGTAGAAATGTACTACAGTTTGATTCTGGTGAGAAATTACTATACTTTTTTAATTCTAGTAAATGGTTGGAATACAAACCATGTGCAACGTGAATGGTCTGAGAAGCCAGTATCCAAGTCCTTGCTTCTCCCCCAGCTCTGCTAGTCTTCTCCCTTCCTGAAACGGACTTGAGTTTGAGAACTTGATATGTGTACAAATGATCTGTTAGCCACTGTTTCATTCATGCTGCCCACTGTATCTCTGCAATGTGATCTAGGCTGCAGCAGGTGGTATATGGGCTAGAAGAATGAGCTGAACACTGTGTCTTGTGTGTAGACCAAATCTGAATGCCATTTCTACTCTTAACATTTCCTTTATGACACCATGCATCCCTTCAGAAGGTCATTTGCAAATGGAGAGCTTAGTTGCAGACCTGGAAGGCTGGAAAGTGTCTGGGGTTGTAAGGGTTAACAAGCATACTTGCAAAGATTGTCCGAAGCTGACGGAAAGCAGAGTCTGAATGGGATTGAGAACAGATGCGAGGCTTGATTTAAATTACATTTTATTGGATGCTGCAGCCTTAGAGACGTGACTGCTTTACAGTTTGTTTCCACACTGTGGGCAGCTGCTGTCTGTTCTGCGTCCACAGTAGGATCCTTCCCAAAAAGGAGCAGCCTCCCCACCTCGCTGTGTTTGAGGCTTGGCGCCTTCCTCTTAACTGTGGGCTTGAGTCAGGAGCATGGCTTGACTCACAGTGGGGCTGCTAAGTATCCTCTATGGCTTCCAGCCAAGGATCGCATTTGCAAATTCGAAAGGGCCAAATTTCTTTCCCTCTACCTTCTCTCTTCCCTTTCTCCTGGTATTTGGAAATAAGGTTTTCTGTGTATTGGTATGTTAGTTTCTTCTGCTTCTCCCCCACTGTCAATTTCTAGGTCATTGCTGCTCTTAAGACTTAAGCAATTGGAACAGGGTTGGTTCTGTCAATGATGCGTGAAGCCGACTAGAGTCCCTGCTTGGCTTCCGCTGCCCTTGTGGGAGCAAAAACTGATGTGTGTTGGTGAAGTCTTAAGTGTAATTCAGACAGCCGGGGAACAGCTTGAGAAGGGAAGAAAGTCCTTTCCTTGCTGGCTTTTCTCACTAAAGCTGAGCTACAGGAAGGAGGTGGAGCTTTCAGTGGGATGGGATAGGCTTTTGTGGTTGCTAGTTCTTGCCAGGATCATAGACTGTTTCACATGGAGTAGTGGCAAAGATGTTGACCTACATTTTTCTCTTGAAGGCTGTGTGTCTCTATCCCAGTTTCTCCCCTTCCACCCCCCAAAAAATATTTCATTTCTTTGGCGTATTGGTAGATATTGCCATGGTAAGAACATAGATACAATGAAGCTTGTGTGGGTTTCAGCCTCAGAGCTGGCTCAATGAAGTCTTGCCTGTGGCTACACAACTGGCAAGAATGTGTGAGGTCCAAACTCCCCAGAGATCAAAAAAGTTGGTAGAGTCCTATTCTCTCTTCAAGCCCTCAGCACTCCCTGCCTTCCTTAAGTGCCCTTTAGCATGCCACAGTAAGAACAGAGAAGTGGAAATGAGATACAGCCTAGAGCTTTTAAAGATACCTGTTGAACAAAATACATCAAGATTGAGGTTGTAGTCATTATTTGTATCTGTCCCCAGAATTCAGCACTGGTACCTGGTGGGTGGTACCTGCTCCTGAGTTAATTGTGCCCCGCCTTCCCTGAATTCATAACAAGCCCACAAATACCGCCTGGTCATATGCCGTCTTCATAACTGGTTCCTAATTAGACCACTGTGAACCTAGATGCACTGTCGAAGTTGATTCTGACTCAGCAGTCCTCTAGATTTATGAGGCTGTAAATCTTAACCGTAGTGGGGAGATGTCCATCTCTCTCTTGGAAAAGAGGTTCAAGCCTTCCAGTACCTCCCCTACTATGCTCCTTGGAATCCATAAACCCAGGAAGCTTAAGACCCAGATCCACTATTATAGTGAATTCTGACTTTGGCAGCTGTGTGTTCCAGAGTAGAACTGTTCCATGACAAGTTTTCTTAGCTATAATTATGGGAATAGATTGCCAGACCTTTAGCTACACCACTGAGCAGATCTCAAGTGTGCCTCTTAAGGACCTCCTAGGTTCCATAGTTGTAGGTATTCTGTATATGTTGAGTGAGTGCATAAATGAACCAGCTAAGATGTTGCCTTTTTGAGGCAAACATAACTGGTGCTTTTGCACAGAAGTATTGAGCAGGTCCCTGCACCCTTTTATAAAATGTGTCTTGTCACAGTTGTAGGAGATTTATTGGCATCCAAGTGACTCCCTCTGAAATAGTGATGTTTTGCCTAAGGCCACTTCCATGTTGCTCTAGGGAAGCCTTTGCTACAGAGAATCTTATCCAGCCAAAGACCTGAGGAGTGTTACCTAGCATCTGGTCAGAAGCATTGTGTTGCATTTAGTTGGCAAGGCATTAGGGGGAGCCTACCTTTGCTGCCCAGCTTTGTAACTTATGGCAAGTTGTGATCTTAAGTTTTTGCTGAGAAGATAAAGTGCCCTCTTGAATGTATTCTCTCTTAAGCTACCACAGCCTAGGCCCTTCTCTGAAGAGGTATGTCTGTAGGGGGAGAAGGCATGCCCTCTGGCCTCCCCTTTGATTTTCAACCCCAACCCCTAGGCACTGGTAGTAGGAGCTAATTGGGTGCAAGGGGCCTGAGTAAAGACTGTCTGAAGCCTGGCAAAAGGAGAGAGCAAGGTCCTTTTTTAAAAAGCTCTAATTGAGTTCTGAATCAGCCTTACTCCCTTTGATCTCTTCTCTGTTTCCCACACTGCCTGAAAGAGCTAGATCAGCACTTTATAACAAGGGTGCGCCTGCTCCCGCCCGCCCTCTCCTGACGCTCTCTGCTGCCGCCATCCTCTGCTTGTCTCCTTCAGTTAAGATAATGAAGATGCTGAGAGATAAAATGTGTATTTAATAAGGGTGGGGGTAGGGAGGCGGAAAGGGGCAGCCAGGGCCTTCTCTATTTTGGGGCCTAGCCAAGACTCAAGCTGAAAGCAAAGCTAGAGTAAGACTTAGCCCCAGGGTGTGGGGGTTTCTGGGCCTCAGTCCAGCTGACTTCACTGCCTGCTGTTTGCCCTAAATTCCCCCACCTCCACCCTCTCACCCCCACACTCCTTTCTTTCCTTTTGCTCCCAATGGGAAAAGGAACTATTGCTCCAACTTTCATTTCATCTGGTAACTTGGCCTTTCACGTGGTGCCCCCCACTCTAGAATCAGCTGCAAGGTCAGGCAAGGGCAGCCCCCTCTAGCCTAGGCCTGTACAAAACTGGGTTCACAGTGGGGGGTGAGAAAGCTGGAGTTAATGAAGACCAGCTGCTAGTCTGGGCTCTGCCTGCAGCTAGCTGGAGGCCAGCCTTTGGTGGTGGTTAGAGGTACTGGGATGTGTGACCTCCATCCTTGGGCACAAGGATATCCTGTGGCAGCTGAGGCTTGTGTTCCTCTGGAGCTTGGTTTTTAGCTTAGTTTGTAAGAGAGTCTGTTTCCCTCTTCCCTTACTCCTCCCGTCCCCAAATAACACTCAACTCTTATTGAGCTTTATAACAGTAGTGGTGGCCCAGCTGAGATCTGAGGATCTCCAAGTCCTTTTGTAAACACTCATTAACTCTGCCTGGGAAGAGCCAAGAGCCCTGTTTAACAGCTGGGAGAGAACTGAGGCACATTAGGGTGAGTGGCTTGACCTGAGCTCACCCATGATCTCCACCCTGGGGCTCTCCATCCTTATGTCTAGCTCCTTACCTCAGGTCTTCCTGCAGACAGAAAGAGGCCATGCTGTTGCCCTCTTCCTTAAGTCTGTCCCTGAGTTTCCCTGGCCCTTCGCCCTGTGACATTTCCCCTCCTTGCTCTGTTGCTGAAGACATACGCAACTCTTCTTGCAAAATGTTCTTAGTCCAGCCCTCTGCAGACTCCCATCCTCCTTCCCCTGACCTACCTGCCCTCCAACACTGAGTCTGCCCTTTACCACTACTGAGTTTGGCCATCCTTAAACAGGAATCCTGAAGGTGCTCTGCTTGTGTAAATAAAAATATTTTCTTTATTCCTTCTGGTAAAGATTCAAGACCC